TAAAACCAATATATCTTGTAATTTGTGCTGCAGCAGCAACTGGATAACCCAGAAATTTCATTAACAAGTTAGGAATCTTTAGGAAGTTTAGGACTTAGCTTGATTCAGCAGGAGATTTAAAAATACCTATCTCTACAGTGAGAGGGCATACAGAGATGTTGGAGGGTTGCTCGGGTTTTTGCTATTTTGACACAGGATTTACAGTTCTGTACTGAGAGTGGCCATTGACTGTAATCAGTCACCATAAACCCCAGGAAAGGACAGCACATAACACTTAGCCTTACAGGTCTGATACCTGCTCTACAGGCCACTGGTTTTCTGACCTGCTGGTGCTAAGGCCCAGCTTCAAAGGTATTTGATGCTGCCGTGGCCATGCCTCCCAGAAAGATACATTCCACATGGCAGAGGCAGAGCCAGACTCAGTCACCCTTCATGTCCCTCCTGCCCCACCATGGTGTTTGGGCCTCTCTGGGGTCCCTGATAGCTCATGGCCTCTTCTTAGGGTATCAGGTTCCTCCTGCTCTCCTACCTCATGGCTTTTCTCCCCCACAGCTCGCTCCCTTCACCTTTCCCCAGTGCAATAACCCTGTTACCCCAGCCACAAGGAAGAGATTCCACTCATCCCACTCCCAGCTCAGGCTTCCCTCTTTCACTTTTTCTCATGGGCCTGACCATGAGGAAATTATGGTCATTAATCAGAAAACACACATGAGATTGCTGATTCATGTAACACATAAAATCTTAGCTAACATAAAAACATTTCCAGCTGATTTTTTTTATAAAAACTTTCCAGCAATGCAAAGAACAGCAAATTTTGATCAAATATTCTTTAGCTATAAAATGAATGAATTTCAGCAGCACAGTCATTGGTCAGGTTTGTTTCACTCCTGACTCATCCAGTCCTTGGTAACAGCATTTTAACACATGCTCTATCACATTTATTGATCTGAGAATTAAATTAATATGTTGTTAGTGCAACTGCCCTCTTTTCTGATTAGAGCCCATGCATACAGTCCCACAAATACACTGCCTATTGATCTGCCACACGAACAAATATAAAATCTCATTCCTCTGAATTGCATGGAAATGGCTTTCTCTTCTGTTTTTACAAATAATTTGATTACACATTCATGAAAGGAGGAGTGTAAACAAGCCTCTGTGGTACCAGAAATAAGGAAAACACATCCTTATGATAAGTCAAATGAGTCAAGAAGCAGGGTTTAAGGGAAATAACATCTCAAAACCAACTGGAGATTAAAAAAAGAAAATAAAAAGTAATGGAAAAACCATGCGGAAAAGGGCAAACTTTGAGTTTAGAGACAAAGCAGAGAAATACAATGGCACAAGCCATCTGGAAAAAAAAAAGAAATTTAAAATACCCTTTTTTTAAAAGACTTAGAAATTGAGGAGTCAAGTCATCCCTTAAACCTTATGAAGTTTCATGCTCAGGAACACAACTATTCAGGGACAAGAGAAAACAGGCACAGCTGCAAGTTCTACCCATACCTAAACAAATGTCTCAAAAGTAATACTCTCTGAAAGCTTTCTGAAGAGAATGGATAGCTTAATACATTCTTGTAAGTATAGTTTTTGAAAAAGAGAACCTTCATTTATATTCCTAACACAAATACTTAAGAACTGATGGAAACACTCTAGCTGGCTTGGTGAGTTTGGAGTCAGCTTTCACAAAGGAAAGGTGCTTGAAGATCAATTGCACCCAGTAGAGTATGCAAAGTTCAGTGTTTTGTACATGACTGTAGTTTCACACAGAGGGGACTATGGCATGCAAGTGTAGGTCACAGGACTTGGTTTGATTAGCTCTATAAATCTTTAATCCTCACCTGTGTTCAAAGGAAGGCCCTGCAATATATAAAGGAACACCGTTAGATCTTACTGTAAAATGTGTGAATTCTTTATTCTCTTTAAAGTAAAACTCTTCTCCAAACTTAACATGAATGAAGTGTATATGTCTGTATCACTGGAACAAGAGGATATTATCAAGTTATATGATATTTTAAAGAGTGATAAGTCACTCTGATAAATCACTGAATTTATCAGTGTAATGTGATAAATCACATTACACTGATAAATTCAATGTGTAAAACTATCTCAATATGTTATGATTACAGTTACCATCATCTGCTCTATTTGATCACTTAGGTGTAATTCGTGTCAAGGTGATCTTCTGCCATGTGCAACCTAGAATCATCGAATGGATTGCAGAGATCATCTGCTTTCAAACCCCTGACATGGGCAGGGAACCATCCATCAGAACTGGATGTTCATTGGATCACTGACAAGAGGCTTCACTTTATCAAAAACTAAACAAACCAAACTTATTCTCTGGATTAACAAGTCCTCTTTTTTTTTTCTGACTATTTCTAATTATTGAACATGTGTAGCTCCATCTCATGAACTCCAACTGACAGGCGAACTGACCAGTCTTACTTCCATGTCATTGAAAATAATGGAGGTAATTCTAAATAAATCACAAACATTTAGAATTGTTAATGAACTATTTTAATGCATTAGTTATGCTGATATCTTAGTATGAAAGTATTATTATTTTCATAATTTTTCCTCAGAAAATTATTCAGATTCAGCACAAAGAAAAAAAAACATAATCTTATTAATAGGCACTGTATCTTGTCTTGATAATGCAGAAGCTAAAAGTACTCAGGAGAGCTGGCAGATTATAAAGTGATTATAAGAAAGCATGACACAAAAGTTTCCCTCAAAAAAGTGAAAAAGACAAAAAATTACAAGATACAGCTATGACCAAATTTTAAGACATCAAAACAATCAAATGAAAATCAAAACATAACACAGAAAAATACTAGGCGAACACAAAAGTGTAGTGCAGAAACCATAAGGATGGAGGTACAAATTAAAACTGCCCAAAGATACTCAGCATATGAACAAAAACACTATACTGCATTTACAGAATTGAAAAAGAGTAAATTAAAAGTATAGGCTCATTGATTATAGAGCAAGAGAGAAAATAGCCATTGAAAGAAAAAGTTATGAAGTATTAAAATACCTTATTAGTAGTGTTTTGAAAACAAAACTAATTACACAATTGATTTTAATTCAGAGATAGCATGAAAAAGGAGTGCTAAGCAGAGTCCAACTCAGCTAAGAAAAACAAGTCCATTAATTATCTTACTATAAGAATATTCAAATGTTTTGAGAATAATGGAGTTAAATGAGAACAAGCTCATAAAAATATATGGAAAAGAGGCAGTTGTTAATCATTGTGGACTTGTTTTCTGCTGGTCAGTCCATATTTGAATAAAGTCAATTCCATCAGGGAGAATTGAGCAAATTGTGATAATTTCATAACCAATTAAACTCTTTAAGCGTGGGTATCAGTAGTTTTCTATCACTTTTAAAGGACACACAAGTGGCTTTCTTAGACATAATCAATCTTTTTGCTTATCATCTTTTTGCTAACTTTTGAGTGATGCAACACTTTAAGCAGTAATATTAGGAAGCTTTATATGTTTCAGAGCTAATGCAGAAAACAGTCATAAAAATCCTCATATGTCGAGAAGAAAGTGTCAAATGGGAAAAAAGAAATTTAAAATAAGTAGACAGGAAAAGGATAACTCTTGGCAATGTAATAATGCTGTGAAAGAACCCCTTCCCGTTTACACTAGCCAGCAAACTCATTTTAAGTTAATGATGCTGTTGCATGAAAAGCAGATCTCAGACAAGACAATCTTAGTCAAGAAAGTCTTACTGTCAGCCGTAATTTCTGGAAGGCATGGAAGATAACCATGCAGCCATACAGAGCAGTGTCAAAGCACTGGATGAGATGTTACCTCAGGTTTTGTCTTTGTACTTAAAAGGGGGAGAAAATCCAGCAAAGAAATTACAACAAAGGTCTTGAACTGTGGGAAAATATTAAGAGACCAGTTTTATTTTGCCTGGAAAAAGAACTATTATATTGGAAATGCTAACTATATAACTATGTTATAGTTCTGGTGTAATAAAGGGATAATAAATCATTATTTTACCATTTGGAGTGGATAGCTGAACAGTTTCCTCCAACTGCAAAAACAACAGGTTGGGTAAGGGAAAAAGGAAACTAAAAAATAGCACCATATATATAGTGATCAGAAGATCAATTAATTTAGCAGTTTGTTTTCATTATTGAATATTATGTTCAGAAAGCAAACAGCAGCTCCAAAATTACCCTGCTGCTTCTATAGGCTCCAAAGTTTTGATAAAAATCTGCACATATGAGGGGGAAAGTATTCTTAATTCACAACTGCTTTAGCAATATAACTTTCTATTTGCAATTATTAAAATAAACAATTATAACCTGCCTTTTGCAAGGTAAAAATGACCTCCTGTACACAGTGTATAATCCTTAATCTGAAATTAAAGTACTAACACTTGTTTTGTGTCTGTCTTACCAACACACTTTAATATCACCTGTATATGTAAAAGTATGCATTTTTAGTTTCTAGATGACTCACTTCTGAGAAACACTTTAGCAACAACCATTGTACAACTTCATTGTATGCCTAACTGAGTAAAATATTGCACACACCTCCAACAAGTGGGGAACATTTATGTCAGGGTCAGCAACTCTCTTAAGACAAACCAACAGCAAGAGCAGAATAAATTAGGAACAATTATCATTCCAAAGACAAATACTTATATATGAAATATTTCTATAATTAAACTAACTCTGTTCTATTTTCTACAAAACTCTACAGCCTTCCCACCATAAGTGATAAATTTACCCACAATGAGGTAATACATGAAAGTAATCTCCTGATGCAAAATTTTTATTAATACAGTAATTCTTTCTAAAGTCAGTAGAGCTGGTGTTTCCTCTGCACAATTAAGGAACAGCTTCTTGTATATTTAATACACTCATACAATTTTCTGCTTAGCCCAGCTAAGCAAAAGTGTTGCTCAAGCAAACTTCAAGCTCATTGATCATTCTGGAGAAAATAACAGAGTCCCCTCCCAAATGTATTTCTTACCATAGACAACATTTTGCTTGAAAGCAGAGTTCTGTTACAGCACAAAATGCATTAGAGTAGCAACGGATGCCTGTGAAAAGAATAATAATAACAGAAAAGGAAAGATGATCTGGGATAACTCTAAAAAACAATACAAACTCCACTTACTAAGCATATTAATTAAGTTTCAAAGATCCAGCAAAGGGCAGATAAAATCTGCTAAAGTTGCTGTGTCTTTGGCAGACATGCTTTAGTGAGTTATAAAATAGCAAATATCAAAGCAGGCTCTGAATTAGCTAAATATTGGGGGGTTTTGTTATGTCAGAGCTTTCTAAATTAATTATTTGAGAGTTCTTTATAGAAATTCACACAATTTGGGAAAGAAAAGGAAGAAATTAGGTCATTTAGGTTGCAAAGGATAGAGTCTTAAGTGGAGGTAGAGTATAAGTGAGAAAGGAAGGCAAACGGGAGAAAGAAACCCCAGCCCCAAACCTTTCTTTGACTTACCCTAAGGAGACTGCAGTCATACCAGACCTGTTCTTCTGATGCAAGTGAAGAAGTTTTAAGGTTCTCTAAGTGACTGAGGATAATGTAAAATCCCTAGCTATATTTAGATTTCAGACTAGTCTGAGGAGTAAATTCGACAAATCAAGAGACAAAATTCCTGTAAGTTTCCTGCTTTGGCTCAGAAAAGACAACCAAGAAAATAAGGTTGTCCACCAACAGTTTTGGTGACATGATGAGTATTTAAATAACAAAAAAGTTACTGTGTGTGATGTATATTAGAGTTAAAATGCCTCCATTCAGTTCTATTGAAGGAGCAGAAAATGTAGAATTTTCTGCTTTCAAACACTATTTTCTTAATCAAAACAAGGCTTCAGTCAGCAATATGGGCCATCTCTACAGGACTAAACGAACAAAATTTGGATAGAGGAATATATATGTGTGTGTGTCAGAGATTTTTATATATATATATATATACACACATATATAATTTTATATATATGTATATATTTGTGTGTGTATGTGTGGGTGTGTGGGTGTGTGTGTAGGTGTGGTGTGCATACATATGTGTGTATATATATAACGGTAACAAAGGAATTAATTCTGCAGATTGGCATAATTACAAAATCTCAAGTCTTTGAAAACATCTGTATTAGCTACAAAAATAACTATCATTTTCTTCTGAAGCATACTTCACATAGCATCTTCTCAGCTCTGGAAGACATAATGTGTTTGGCTAGATTTTGGTTCAGGTATTCTGACATTCTAAACAAAGGAACAAATAATGTCCTAGCATATATCAGTATATTTTGTGTTTCAGATTACTTCAAAGACAGCTTTCTGTCAAACCAATAGTACTAAGGAGGGATAAATAACAATCCAAGCTTGCAAAAATATCTCTGTAGATCAGGATCTCATTCAACTTCAACAAGAAATGGCACATAAAGTTGGCTTAAGTAGTAAGTGTGGCAGGCTTTCTAAGATACCATTAAAAAAATAAACCATTGGATGAAAAAAGAACAATATGAACAATGTTGAGAAGCTATCTGGATTACAACTTAAAAAATGTTTCATGATTAGGGCTTGATACCCTTTCAACAGGAAAAAATATTAATGGAGCATATGATGCACATGATAAGATTAATTTACTCAGTAGAAGATGATAATGGTTAAGAGAACAGTTAAGAGAACAGCTTGGTGAAATTCACTTTTACAGAGCTTTTACAAGATCTGTAAAAGTACTTGAGGGGATTAAAAACTGAGATCTGTTGCTGAAGTTACAGACCCTGTAAAAAGACCACTTAAGCATTTTGTGGTTATATAGATGAGGGATTTTGCAATCAAATCCTAAAGAGATTTTGTGTTGTCATAGTATCATAGGATTAGTTAGGTTGGAAAGGACTTTTAAAATCATCAAGTCCAACCATTTACCCAGAATTCCCAAGTGAACCCCTAAAGCATCTACTACTCATTTAAATACCTCTAGGGATGGTGACTCAGCCACTTCCCAGGACAGCCATTCTAATGCTGAATAACATTTTTGGTGAAGAAATTTCCTAACATCTGATCTAAACCTCCTCTGGGTGTTCCCTGAAGCCATTTTCTCTTGTTGTATCACCTGTTACCTGGAGGGCATTGACATCCACCTCAACAGTAGAAGTAGCAGTAGAGAGCATGAGGTCTGCTCTCCAGGGTAAACAACCCCGGTTCCTTCAGCTTCTCCTTATAAAACTTGCATCATTGTTTTTCTTTTAACATGCTGAAGCACCTCAGTACCCCAGGATCCTTTTTAACTGAGTTTGCAGCCACTGTGGCTATGCATGGGGTGACTGTTGAACTTCATACACTTGGCCTTGGCCCATCAATCCGGCCTGTCCAGGTCTCTGTGGAGCCTTCCTACTATCCAGCAGATCAACACTCCTGAGCAATTTAGTGTCCCTGCAAAGTGCCTGAGGATGCATTCAATCCTCTAATCCACATCACTGATAAAGATATTAAACAGGATGTCTCCAATATTGAGCCCTGGGGAACCCCCTAAATGACCAGTCAAAAACTGGTTGTGGCAAGATTCACCAGCTCTTTCTGGGCCCACCCATCCCGCCAAGTTTTAACCCAGAGCGTAATTGCCCAAGCCATGAGCAGCTATTTGTAATACAGTAGCTACTGCAGCACTCAACAAAGACCACTGTTCTCTGACCTTTCTACTGGACAAGATTTATTGCCTCCTCCAGGATATTGGCAACTTGGAGTAAAACCTGTTTTGTGACTAGATAATTCGTACAGATCATCAGAGCCATCCAGACATCCATTCTCCTATGTCTCCTATAGCTACTTCTGTATTCTTCAGCTTTCTCGTATCCATACTTCCTGAACAATAAGACCTTTCATTTTATAGAAATTCTTGCTGCACTATAATTATTTCTTGCTTTCTTCAATCGGTTCACTGATGTAGGAATAAATTAAGCAGGTGTTTATTAAAACATATATGAACCAGCAAAATATTAACCATTGTAGAACCACATTTATAGAATCGCTATATGCTTTTCTAGAGAGTGCCAGGACATAGTACCAATTCCTCTGCTCCTGCTATGCCAGTGCAAAATGTTACATAGTGATGTAATCAATAGTCCTCTGAGCCAGGAGGGTCACCCTTGTCCTGGGGTGCATCAGGCACAGCATCACAGCCAGGCAAGGGAGGGGATTGTCCTGCTCTGTTCTGCTCTGCTCTGCTCTGGGGCAGCCTCACCTCCAGTGCTGGGGGCTGTTCTGGGTACCACAGATAAAGAAGGACATTGAGCTGTCAAGAGAGTGTGCAAAGGAGGGCAACAAAGATGGTGAAAGGCTTTGAAGTCAAGCCATGTGAGGAGTCCCTGAGGTCACTTGGTCTGTTCAGCCTGGTAAAAACTGAGGGGAGAGCTCACTGCAGTTGCACCTTCCTTGCAAGGGAAGAGGAGGGACAGGCACTGATCTCTTCTCTGTGGTGAGCATAGACAGGACTGAAGCAAATGGCCTGACGATGACTTAGGGGAGATTTAGGCTGGATATCAAGGAAAGGTTCTTCACCTAGAGGGTGGCTGGGCACTGAAATGGGCTCCTCACAGAAGGAAGTGCACCACCCCTGGCCACAGCACCACCCCTGACAGAGCTCAAGAAGCATTTGGACAATGCTTTCAGGTACATGTGTGATATCGGAGGATGTCCTGCGCTGGGTGAGGAGTTCGACTTTGATGATCATCCTGGGTGCCTTCCAATCCAGCATAATATTCTCTGATTCTGTGAAAACAATAATTTCTGCCAAATTATCCCTGTTTCTAATTCATGAACTGCCAGTTTCTCCTTAATGGATAACATTTATATATAGTGGCCAATGAAACATATTCAAATATAGAGAAATTATATGTTCTTCCAGAACAATTTCTTTCATTCTGTCCACTGAATGTTTTAAAGCACATAAACATTACCTAAATGAACAGTTCATTCCTGAAACATTAAATTCTCAATTACAGTGGAACAAAAATTACTCTGTCTTCCCTTTTCAAGTCAGGCATTTAGGTATCTTTGTTTAAACTGAGCCACTACTGTCTCAATTTTATGGCATCCTTTCAGTAAGGGGAGCAGTGATGTATATTAACAAAAGATGTAAGTGTAAAGAAAAATATAAGGTCAGTTAAAGGATGACAGAAATAAAATTCCACTCATTTTTTTTATTTCTCAGCAGATCCTTCCAAACCTAAAGAAAGGCATAGAATATAATAAATAAGCCATCCGAAGACTTTACTCATTTAAATCTAATGACAAATAATTAGTTATGCATGAACCTTCCAGTGTGAGCATGCTTTAAGGTCATGGGCTAAGAATTACAATGCTGGTGTACTCCTGCACAGGGTACATCAGCTACTCCATTGTCCCAGACTACTTTAAGAGGTAGAAGGGCAAAAATCTAGTGAAAAACTGTGCTGAGAGCAGCTGCACTCAATCTAGGAATACTGGCTTTAATGTTGTAGATATCCCACTATTTTATACTTCTATGTAGCAGTTTAGAACAACTCTGAAACAACCAAATGACTTCAAACTCTGCTGCTTCACAACTACTGGAAAAAAAAATTAACTCTGTCCTGACCAAAAACACCAGACACTCTGCTATTATGATTTTAATTACAGTAGGTCAAGATACTTATTTTCAGCATATTAGTAGCTGCTTTCAGGATATCAGTATCTGTACATCCGTAGAGATTACAAATATAAGTTTGCAGATGAGACCAGCAGCATCACTTGCTTGAAGGAAAATACAACTGCTGGGTTGTGTGTTTGCTCTAAGATAACACCTCAGAGTTTAGATAATAGACCTTCACAACTTTCTGAATTTGGCTTTACAACTGGTTTATAATACCCAATATCTACCAGTGCATCTATTTTCCAGTATCTCTTCCACTGACCTTTTGAAGAACAACTAGAAATTAAATTTGTAAGGATGACATGAGGTAAAATAATATCAATTTTCTTATTTTAAACTAGCTATTCAATGAGTTTATTGGCTACTTCATGAAGGTGCAGTATCACAAGGAATAATTGCCTCTTTTATTGACA